CCCCAAAACCCCAAAACCCCAAAACCCCGTTACTATAATTTAATTAAATATGGACTCTATCGAGACTATCAGTGCCTCTAATCAAAAAGTAAGTAACAAAAAAGACAAAAGGCAAACTCCTGTTGAAGAATACACGTAGGTTGTGTATTAATAGCCTCAGTTTGATACGATTGGCTTCTAGAATGTTTATTAAAGCAAATTTTGATCTCCAATCCGCTATAAACTTCCTTTGAACCTTCAAATCTATAATAACCAAATAAAATGAATCCCTTTTAGACACTAACACTTGAGCAACAGTTACCATTAGAAAAGAGACAGAATCAATTCAATAAAACTCAAAAAGTAACTTTGGCTCCTCAAAAGAGTAAGAACCCATTCAATTTCCCAATCTCTTACCATTTGGAATATAACTGTAATTTAAAATAAACTTCAAAGTAAAATATTGCTCCAAAAACAGGGAGCAAGAGAGCCTCTAGTCCACTCACTTCCCACTCACACCACCATAGGTGCACACAAAAGTACTAGAGAAGACAGCTTATTTGATGGCCATCAAAAGGAGAACGATGACAAATTCACTTATTACTACGGATCTTACAACCACAATGTTCACTACAAGCCCTACATGGAGTTTGACATAAAAGACATGAGAAGGATCGTCAACGAACAGGGAGAATTTACTAACTACATTACCAAGAAGTCCGAATGGGAAAGAGTCACTGACTTCGTACTCAACTCTGACAAGACCAGATTTGAGTTCTACCTCACTCTCATGAACCTGGGGCTTATTAATAAAACTTCAGGAGCTATGACCAAGAAAAATCGGAAGATGAGAACCTTCTTTAATAAATTTAAGCTGTCATCTAAGAGCACAATGTTTGACGACCCCACTAAATTTAGCAAAGAGCAGATGGATCTTATAATTAACAAAGTGAAGAGTACTAGCCTTGATAGCAAGAGAGAGAAAAAGGAAAAGAAAGAAAACCCTAAGCAGAATTGCCTTATGAGTCCTGAGCCTTCAATGCTCACTAGGGTGACTAAATAAATCAATTTCATTCAAACAGTCCCAGACGAACTTTAGATTCAAGAATAGGTCTATAGATAAGATATTTAAGAAGGGGATAACAATGCAAGGGTCTCCCAAAGGAAAATAGTATCTCAAGCATCTCTCCTAAATATTTCAAGCCAGAAGGAATCACTAATAATGTTTCTGTACCTCCAAAGATCAAGATCTCAAACTCTGTGTTAGGAAATAAGAAGCACAGCATTTATAGCCAAGATCTTCATGATCATTTGGGAGATAAAAAGAATTTCAGTGCTTTGACTATGAGAAAACCAGCTATTTTCCCTAGTAAGATAAGTCCTCATATTTTTAGGTACCTCCACCAATCAAGATTTCAAGATAAGACTGAGCAAAGCTGAAAGTCACAAAAATCCAAGCTACTTCATGAATAAGCGGAGATCAGCTCACACAAGTTTAAAATTTCGAAAGCCTTTACAAAATAGACCTAATAGATTAAGCATTCCCAAAATTGCTGAGACTTCAAAAGGACTAGTAAGAACGACTGCAACACCTTGCTTATCAACTTCTCCAAAGAGGATGTTTAAGCAGACCCAGAAGCCAAGCCAGAGCTTTATACTATGCTCATCTCCATTAGGTAGCACTAAGACTGGAAGTTTCAAAAATATCCAAGAAGGTATTTTATAGTAGCGATCCTTGTTTAATCACCCAAAATAAGTAACAAGTCTTGCTTGAATAACTTTTTATTCCCTTTTGTGAGTATCTAACTCTGTTTAGAGAAATCACAAAATGCTTCAATCGAGAAAATAAACCCAAACAAAGAAATAAAATGGGCTTTCAAAAAGAATAGCATTCCTTTAGATGTAAGCATTGACTATACGCAAAACTTATCCTGCATATATTATAGATATGATAGTTTTTAAAGCTAAAATTGCTCTCATTCCTTATATAGACTAACTTAGCAGTGCAATTATACAAACAGAGATTTCAGAAATACCACAAAGAACCCAGGAGAGAGAAAGCAAAGAAGAACTTCATAATAGCTAAGGCTAAGCAATTTATATAAAATTCCCTCATAACACCTAAAACTCCAACCCTGGCTCTAAAACTCTTCCTGCACCCACCTTTTCCCTCCCTCTAGCCCCTCCCCAATCTCCCCATTGCACTAAATCCATAAAATTCCAATAATCTCCCCTCTTTCCGGGGTTTTGGGGTTTTGGGGTTTTGGGGTTTTGGGG